CCTAAAAAAAGAGGGTGATTCTAGGATAGGAGGCCATCATCCAATCTTCAGGCCATAGCTGTGTGAGCCATCAGACCACATTAAGAGGAGGGAGTGTGAGGACCTGCAGGACCGCCAGCTGCTTTATTTAAGTGGTGTTTCATGTCACCCTGCCCACCTCAAAGGCTGCCACCTGGACACCTTCAAATCTCATCCATGTCAGTCATAGTGAGCCCCCACCCTCAACCTGCTACCAGCCAAGACCTGCCAGGCTCCGGAATTCAGCCTTTCTCCTCTGAACTCTATCAGCATTCTTTGCCATGTCGTCATTTCAGCAATTCCTTTGTCTCATCTTCTAGATGAGCACATAACACATCCCTGATAATTTGCACATTAGGAATGGAAGCCTTCTGCTCAGCAAGCTGAGCACCCCTCATGATGCCAGGCCCCGGGCAGCAGCCTGCCCTCTTTATCCTGCTGCAAAGGAAAGGACAGGTGGCAGGCCTGCCTCGGGCCCAACCCCATCTTTCTCCCTGTTGAATGGGAAGCAACAGTAGGCTGAAGACAAACAGCAGAAACAACCGTGCCTCTGTCTGTCTGTCTGTCTGAGCCATGTTTTCACTATGTTACTGATCCCCAGGACATATCTTTCACCCCAGGTGTTTTTCATGTAGACAGTAGGCTGGTGCCAATTCATCTTTTAAACGGAGACTGATCTATGCCCTCAAAACTGGGACCAGTGAATTTGAGAATGTGAGTTCTTCCCCAGAGGTGACACACCTTCACAGTGATCTGGAAATCCTACCCCAGGGGTTGCTCAAGCCACAGAAACTCTGTTTTCTGTAGGACAAATTGATACATATTAGTCTGATGCATGGTCTAGCAATGGAACAGTCAGGAATCTCAGAAAATCCCTCCCCACGGATGTAAGGAAGCTGTGGGAATAGGAAGGCTATGTGAGCAGGGGCAGGCAGCTACTTCTCACCGGCAAAGTGTGTTCAACTTAAGTGCACACGCACACAAACACACGTGCACAGAAGCAACCATGCAACTCCATGGCCCCTTGCCTTTCCCTCCAGGAAGTACCGATGTGTCATACGAACAGTAAGCTTCATTCATTCACTGAACAAAATGTTTGCTCATCACCTACTTTGGGCCAGGCACTGTTCTAAGCTCTAAGGATATAAATGTAACAGATGGGTTCCCTCTCCCAGGGCCTCACATTCTGGCGAGGGCAAATAGACAATAAGCAAAGAAGTAATTATTCTTTGAGAGTGATGAGGGATAGAGCGGTGGCCAGGGGAGATGTGAGGTCTGAAGGAGCTGAAGGGGTGAGCCCCACTGATGTCTGCTGAAGACGGACAGCAGCACGGCCTTGGCCTTGGCCTTGGCCAGGCAGGAGCGTGTGTGGGACCTGGAGAAAGAGTGAGGGGGCCCGAGGGAGGGGAGTGCAGCTGGCTGGTCGCTGAGGCTCTGGGGCCAGAATCTCCCAGGCCTTTGGGAGAACTCTGGCTTTGACCCAGAGGAGAAGGGGAGGTGATTGAAGCAAGACTGAGGCTTCATGGGTCTCACCTCATAGCAACACCTGCTGCTGCTGCAGCCTGGAGAGCAGCTGCCCGGAGCGGGGGTCCAGGCAGTGAGGATGAGGAGGCGGTGGGAAGTGGCCAAAGTCAGGACTCATTTTGAAGATGGCGCAGAAGGATTTGCTGATGCAGAGTGTGAGAGAGTCAGGAAGATGACTCCAAGGACTTTGCTTTGAGCCAAAAGCTATGGTTCTCGTTTCCTGGAGATGGGAAAGGTGATAGGTGGGAAGCAGGAGCTCCGTCAGAGCACGAACCCCGGTGTTGTGCAGCTCAGACTTTCCCAGACACCCCAGGGGTTGAGGGAGGCAGGGGCGGCAGGGAGAGTGGGCGGAGGGTGCTCCTCCAGACCCAGCTCTGTGTCCACACGCGCGTCCTTGCCTTTGGCCGTCGCTCTGGGAGATCCCTGCCAGTTTCCATGCTCCATCTCCGCCTTCCCAGGAGCGTTCTCCCCTCTTAGAGACTGGATCTGTTCCTGGCCCACAGCTGCCTCCTCCCTGGAGCCCCAGGCATTCCAAGGGGCTCCCAGGTCAGGAGGGCCCCGCCCCCACAGCTGCCCTTCATCTGGGGCCTCCCCCAGACTTTCTTGCTGATGGCACCTGGCCCTCTCCCTCTGCAGCCATGACCTGTTTGTCAAGCTCTCGTTGGTCCCCATGGCTGTCAGACATACCTGAGTCTCAGGTATAATCCCAGTTGGAGTTATTTCCCACATGCCTCTTTACTTCATGAAAATGAAGGCATCAACCTTCCATGGCCATTAAGGGTTTTCCAGAATCTTCCATGACGGTTGAGCGCACCAAAGATCTCTAGAGGATTTGTGACTTCAGCACACATGCAGACACTCTTCCCTCGGATACAGCTGGAAATTCTTGTTATAAATATGCTTAAAGTTGCTGGTTCCCAACTCCCAGTGTATTGGCAAGTGTTGAACTGGCTGCGTGAGGATTACCCCAGCCCCAGAGTCAGAGATTAGGGTTTCACAGTGCAAGGGAGGGACCTGGAATCAGGATGTAGGAAATGCTAACACACCCCACTGGTATTTTTGTTGTTGTTGTTGTTCTATTATTATTAATTAATTAATATTTTAGGACAGGGTCTCACTCTGTCACCCAGGATGAAGGGCAGTGGTGCAATCATAGCTCACTGCAGCCTCGAACTCCTGGGCTCAAGTGATCCTCCCATCTCAGTCTCCCCAGTGGGCGGGACTACAGGCATGCGCCACCACACCCAACTAATTTTTTAAAATTTGTTAAAGATGAGGTCTCACAGTGCTGCCCAAGATGGTCTCGAACTCCTGGCCTCAAGCAGTCCTCCTGCCTTGACCTCCTAAAGTGACAATCCTCCCAAAGGGGGTTACAGGCATGAGCTACCACCGTGCCCAGCCCACCTCTACTGGTGTTGATCACCAGGCAGGCTTGGGAAAACTGCTTTAGCTGTAAGAGGGGAGGGTGTCCTACCCCCAGAGAGGTTCTCTTACTTTTTTCTTTAAGCAGATCACTACAGCCTCTAGCCTGCAGGGGCTCCAGGCAGTCCATCACACATAGTGGGTTGTACAGAATTTATTTAAGGACAGAGATGGGGAAGATGGAGGGAGAAAAAACCCTGCCATCTTCTGCCGTCTAAAATTTAGAGCCTATTTTGGTGAGATAAGACTGTATAGGCCGGGCGCGGTGGCTCACGTCTGTAATCCCAGCACTTTGGGAGGCCGAGGCGGGTGGATCATGAGGTCAGGAGTTCGAGACCATCCTGGCTAACATGGTGAAACCCCGTCTCTACTAAAATTACAAAAAATTAGCCGGGCATGGTGGCGTGCGCCTGTAGTCCCAGCTACTTGGGAAGCTGAGGCAGGAGAATGGCGTGAACCCGGGAGGTGGAGCGGAGCTTGCAGTGAGCTGAGATCCGGCCACTGCACTCCAGCCTGGGCGACAGAGCGAGACTCCGTCTCAAAAAAAAAAAAAAAAAAAAAAAAAAAAGAAAAAAAAAAGACTGTATAGAACAGATACAAATAAACGTATATTAATGTTCTGCAACAGAGGGGGTATGGCTGGCAGGCAAAATAGAAGTGAGGAAAAGCTGGATTTGTGGAGGCCAAAGGTGCCCTCGAGGCTGCAGGTGGGTGAAAAGTTCATGTTGCCAGCCAAACTATGACCCCTCTGCTTCTGTCCCTTGGTATGGAACCATTCTCTGCAGAGATGAGCCCAGGCTGTGGCTGCAGTGGGAGTGGCTTGCATGTCACTCACAGAAGCAGCAAAAGCAATCCACTGTCTGGATTGGTGATGAGCTGGGAATCTCTCAAGGTAGTGACCTAGGAGGCAGGTGGGCCAGAGGGGGCCAGAGGGAAATGAGATTGTCCTGTTCTTGCCCTTGCTCCCTTCGGGGCCGTGTCCTTTTGCTACGGTGCACTTCCTGATCCTGAGCGGACCCTCACCCAGGCGCCCACCCAGCATCCGGCAGTCATTAGTAGGTTTCCCCTCCCGCTTTTTCATGAGAAAGGGATTTTGCCAGGATCTCTGTATTTATAGTGGAGAGAGGCCCCAGGACTGTGAGGAGTGGGGACTTCCTCCCCAGGGATCCCACTGAAAGCCCGTGTCCACTCAGGACCGAGCTCCTGCCCACTCAGAGGACTCGTGCTTTGAGCTGCCCCAGTGGGCGTGACAGTTTTGCTACAATCTAGGATTTCCCAAACTCACCTGCTGATCAGAATCCTGTAGGACGCTTGTTAAAAACAAAGATATCTGGGCCCCAAACTACAGCTAATGAATCAGAGTCTCAAGAGCAAAGGCCCTTGAAAAAACAATTCTTAGGACGCGGTCAACTTGGGAAACTTCACCGAGCCATGAACTCTCTCTTACCCTTGGGTGACCTAATTCTTGCCTCTGCTAGAAAGCTGCTGTCTAGGCTGAGCTCAGACAGGCATTCATGGGGAAAAATAAAAATAAAAAATAATAATAATAAAGCTTTTTTTCTGTTTAGAGACCAACAGCGACAACAATAATTACCAACCTTTATCAACTGTGTGCCAAGCACTCTCCAGGGGGCTCTTTGGGGAAAGGTGGATCGTGTCACACAATTCTGCCAATAGCCTAATGAGGCAAGGGCTACAGCTGTCTCCATTTTTTCAGATGGGGGTGCAGAAGGCAGGGAAGTGAAATGTCTTGCCAGGGGCACATGTAGCAGGTAACCGGCAGAGCTAGGTCACAGGCTTCTGACCACTGCCCCCGTCTCTTCCCCAACAGATTAGTCATCCTGGCACCTCGAATTAACTCCCTCCAGGGTGGCAACTCACACCACCACCAACACCCCTCCCCCCAGACAGGGAAAAAAAAAAGAGCATAGAGTGGCAGCTCCTCTGAGAACCTGCAGTGTGTAGTTGTGAGAATGAGGCACAATGGGGAGGACAGCAAGGGGCAGGGTGCTGACCTCCTTCCTGTTGGCTCTCAGGTACTGGAACTCCTTGAGCAACCTGGTGGCATCCTTGCTGAACTCTGTGCGCTCCATCGCCTCCCTGCTCCTTCTCCTATTCCTCTTCATCATCATCTTCTCCCTCCTGGGGATGCAGCTCTTTGGAGGAAAGTTCAACTTTGATGAGATGCAGACCCGGAGGAGCACATTTGATAACTTCCCCCAGTCCCTCCTCACTGTGTTTCAGGTACGGACTCTTCTCTGCTGGGATTCGGACTCGGGGTGGTTGAGTGGCGGGGTGGTGGGGGGAGTGTGGAAAGCTACACCCTTTCACCAGGCAGCCACAGCCAGCCTAGATCAGCCCTGGAGAGCCCATGCCTGCGAGAGTCTTGAGTTTTTTCTATAGTTTCCCCTGTCCCCATCTGCTGTGGAATTCCACTAGTGGGTGGACCATTAGGGGAAACAATCTAAGTGGTTTAAAAATGCCTTCTCAGGGGAATCTCTTGAACCCAGGAGGCGGAGGTTGCAGTGAGCTGAGATCCCGCCCCCACTGCACACTCTAGCCTAGGCAACAGAGCAAGACTCTGTCTCAAAAAAAAAAAAAAAAGAAAAGAAAAGAAAAAAAAAAAAAAAAGAAAGCCTTCTTATCCATGGAATCCTTTACTCAAATTCTCCATGAAAGCCCAAAACATAAACAAAGAAAAGCAGACTGCTCTTATTGAGCGGGGGAGAGGGTGACGAAACCCTGGCTTTCCTACCCACCATGCTTGTCCCAGGAAAAAAATATTACTGGCCCATCAAATTTGTGATTTCATAGATATTTTGGCTTAGGGCAAACTCAGAGTGGCCTCTATTTAAGTTTAAAAGTAGATGGAGGTAAAAATGAATCACATGTAGATGCTATGAAAATCTTCAAGTGATTAATGTTTGGGGAAAGCTGGTGTAGCGTGTGGCTGTCTCAGCAAACACACAACTGCACAAGGGCCCTGATGCCTTACCCCCCAGGAATAGCTGATGGTCAGCTCAAGCATGTGTGGAGAAAGTCAGAGATCTTTGGGCCAAAAAGCCCTTTTAGTCACCCTTCAAATCCTATTATGCCAGTGGCCAGGCCTTTTGTGTAAGGACAGTGGAATAGCTCAGAGCCCCCTGGGGAGGAGGATCGGGGGCCAGGAGGAGGGAGAGGAGTGAAAGGAAATTTTGGACAATTCTGTTGACGTAGTGGGGCAGGGCAGGGTGGTTTCGGGTTTGCTGTTGGTCTAACGCTGTGTCCCTTATTGGTGGGAATGTGTCATTCAGATCCTGACCGGGGAGGACTGGAATTCGGTGATGTATGATGGGATCATGGCTTATGGCGGCCCCTCTTTTCCAGGGATGTTAGTCTGTATTTACTTCATCATCCTCTTCATCTGTGGAAACTGTATCCTTTGCTGCTGCCCCCCCACCCCTGCGGCCCCCAGCCCCCAGCCTGCAGCACAGTGCCAAGCGGGCACGTCCCCGCAGGTCCGGGCGGTCCCGCTCGGGCTCACACCACCCAGCCTAGAACCCCATGGCGGCGGAGGTGGGTCTGGGTGGAAACGTGCAGCTTTGCCATAGGTGAGGTTCACCTTCCGGAACCCTTCCGGGCGTGCGCTCGGCGTCCTGTAGGTGAGCGACGCCCCCTGGCGTTGCGGCGTGCGCTGCGCAGCCTCTCACACGGGCTGCGGTAGGGACACGGGCCGGCTGCCCTGGGGCCGCTGCGTCCGCGCAGAGGCGGGGCGCTCCGTAAGGGAGGGTGAGCCGTTGTCCTTCAAGTGACCTTCAGCTCCCCTCCTGCTTTTTGGTCAGCACCCCTCCCTCTGATGCTGCTCTCCAGGACTGGAGTCACAGGCAGAGCTGCCCAGACTTCACACAGCCCTAAAAGCTCCTTCCTGATCCTGGCTCGTGGGTGGGGTTTCCAGGGTCACAAACCACAGGTGCTGCTTCTCTTCCCCAGCTCACCACCCCGAGAGAGTCACGTCCAGAGTCAGGGGTAACATGGGAACAGCACCGGGCCAAGTCCCAGTTAAGGCAGTGCAGAGAACACAGTCATGGAAGCCAGCAGACAAGGTTTCCTCTTTTCCCAGCTGGGTGACCTCTCCTCTACCTCAGTGTCTGTAAAATGTGGCCATGGAATCGTAGAACCTACTACGTAAAGGGTCGTGGGGAGTTTTAATGGGATCATGCATGCAAAGCCCCTACCACATTCAGACGCCTCCCTGGACAAGCCCCTCTTCCCCTGCCTGGGTTGCGGCCTCCCTGTGTGTGAAATGATAGGAATGTCTGGGTGCCTGGGGCTGGGGGTCAGACTTCACAAACTGAAAGCGCCCTTCCAGCTATGCTTTCTTTGATTCTGCACTTCTCTGACCCACAGCGTTTCTGTTGGTGGAGTGGGGTGGGGAGAAAGGGCAAAGAACTGTCTCCATTGGGAACCCCCGAGCCTTGGCTGGCTCCAGCCGGACCCTCCAAGGGTCTTCGTGTGTGCAGGCTCACATTAAGAGTTGGCAGAGATGCCAAGCCACCCCCTCAGTGCCTAGTTATAATAAACCGCTCTTAAGAGCATTCTGCATCCTGCTAGAGACAATGCTGTTTATAATGTCAATTACAGCCAGTCATCTCAGCGGGGAAACCAATCATGAAACCCAGCAATTAAAGTGCAAGGCAGGGCTTGCTGCCTCACTCCCGCCTGCTCCAGTGTGCAGGCTAGCCTGTTCTCATCCCTCTAGATAGCTCCAGGTAGCTAGGAGGGTGATGGGGAGCAAGGGGAGGGGAGTAACACTGTTGGGGTCTGATTCCCTCAGAGTGACTCACTGTCAAGCTCTCTCTGCTGAGGAGCTCTGCCTTGCACGTCCTACACCCCTCTGCCCCCTGTGCCCACCAAAACCCCAAGCCAAGGGTCATTTTCTTTAAGAATGGACACAAACAGATATCCTACTGAATGTGTTCTTGGCCATTGCTGTGGACAACCTGGCTGACGCTGAGAGCCTCACATCTGCCCAAAAGGAGGAGGAAGAGGAGAAGGAGAGAAAGAAGCTGGCCAGGTAACCCTCTAAGCTTGCCCAGGCCCGGGGCTCCAGGACTCCCATTCTGGAATGTCATCCCACTGGTGGCAGAGAGAGGCTTGACTGCCAGTCTGTGTTGGCTGTCCCTCCTAGGAGGACTCTGGGTTTGGGGCTCCCTAAGTTGGGCCTTTCTCCTAATTCCTAAGCATCGCTCTAGTAGGGACCATCGTGAATTATAATAGTCTCTACAATGGTGTCATATTCTCCACCTGTTGGGATTATCTTTTGAGAAGCTGTGATAGGTGGCGGGAGTGTAGGGTGGGGAGAGAGAAAGGCAACCACTCAGTTGGGAAACCCAACTCCAGCTTATGGAGGGAGTCCTCCTCACTACTTTATGATTCATCTCCAGTGTTAGGAAGGCAAGACGGGGCCCTGTGTTGTATCCTATCATTGTATAGACGGGACAGTTCCAGGCCACACAGCTGTCAGGCACTGAGCAGAGCTCCTCCAGGAGCCAATCCTAGAGGAGATACACCATCCTTTTCTGCTCTGGCGGCCCAGGCATCTCTGGAGCTGCAAGAGGCCAATTGCGTGTCAGGCAGAGCAGGTGTGGCTCAGCCCCGTAGCGCTTGTGACTGATCTGTACACGAGAAGTGCCCTGGAAAAAGGAAGATGGATTCAGACCCAGGGAGCCCCCACTGGCCCCAAAAGGCCACAGGGCGGTTCCCTCCTACACTGTTCCCTATCACTCCAGTAAACAGCCATTTATTTTTTCTGCTGCTGACTGGCCAGGACTGCCAGCCCAGAGAAGAAACAAGAGATGGTGGAGAAGCCGGCAGTGGAGGAATCCAAGGAGGAGAAGATTGAGCTGAAATCCATCACAGCTGACGGAGAGTCTCCACCCACCACCAAGGTGAGGAGCTGTCTCCTTCCTGGAGCTGTGAGGCTGGTGCTGGGGAGGGAGGGCCAGAGCCTTCCCCGGCCAGACACCATGGAGAATAGGAGAGAAAGAAGGACACCCAGTGGAAAGAAAGCCAGTGGGGATGAACAGGAGAGCTGGGAGGAGGAAGAGAAGGCAGATTGGCTGGATCCCAGCCATCTGCTGATGTCTTGAAGGGGATATGCAAAGTGACAAGGACCTATTTTCGAGCGAAGTCACTGACTAAAATGCAACTTCAAGGCTACTGCAAGCCTCTTAACTTGTGGACATATCTAACTGAATTCTTCCTCCTTCTCCCCTGTGACTGTCTAGATCAACATGGATGACCTCCAGCCCAATGAAAATGAGGATAAGAGCCCCTACCCCAACCCAGAGACTACAGGTACCAGTCCCACTGCCTAACCTGGGATTGGGAGACTGGGGGCAGAGATTTAAATCCTAAAGCCACGTGGGAGTGGCCGTGTATTAGGGACCATGGTTCCGGTGTCCCTCCATAAGTACCTTGCACTGCTGAGTGTCTTCCGTCTCTATATTTAAGCATCATCAGTCAGCATCTGGGAGACAGCTTTGTTTCTGCTTTCCTCATAATGAAATCACATTTGAGCAGTGCTTTTGTGTCCTTTCCAAGCTGGATTCTGTGTACATTTAAATTTTTGTTACATTACATGTTGTAAAATCATTATTAATTTATATAATGTATTAGTATGGCATATGTTGCAACATTATGCTCACTTAATAGTAAATCCCAAATCTGCCTTGCCCCTACTCAGGAGGCAGTGCCGAGTGCAGGGACAGCTGCCACCACAGATGTCCCACTTGTTGCTTTAGAAAATGATTTCAGGTCTCATTATAAAAGGCGCTCTTACTGACTCCATCTTCCTGTGCTTCTATCTGATACATAAATTGGCAGGCAATCTGCTTCTCAAGGGCTTTACTGTCAGAGGTCAGTGGTCTTCCCTCCAGGCTTCACTTCCCAGCTTCCTGAAATCCCATGCCCTGTCCAAGGCCTTGGCTTACCTTCCTCTGACCTAGAATTGCAGATACCATCGCCAGTTTCAAGCTTGAAGTTAATAACATGTGTCAAGGGACTGTTGATTCTACTGACATTTCCTTGTTCCTGTAGGTTAGGCTATATTTGGGTTGTTCACCAAGTTAGGTGGCTGAGAACCTCCTACATTTATGAGCAAAGCTCGGTTTCCCCTTTTGCTTTCCCTCCGCTGGTTCTCTGCTTAGAACACTCACAGGCATCTTCTGTTGTCCTTGGGAACCAGACTGCCTGTGGTCACACCATCCTCACTCCCCTCCTCCTGCAAGGGAATAGGATGTGGTTTCCTGGAGCTTGGATAGAAAGAACAGGAAGGGTGTTTTCATGTGCAGGGCATTAAATAGCCTTTGAAGTTCTTAAAAACCCTTCTAGGGTGAAACTGTTAGGGAATTTCAACGACGTACTAGAATTATTGAACAAATGCAATGGGAGGATCTTGTCTTGATCCTGAAGCAACAAATACAGTTTAAAATGACATTTTAGAGGTAATTGGGGGAAATTGAATATGGACTTGGAACTAAATGATTTAAAGTAGTTTTGTTAATCTTGTTGGTATAATATTTTGTAGTTCTGTTTTCAAACTGCTGCCGTGTTTATAGCCAGAGTCTAAAATGTTTACGAGTTGCTTTGCTTTTAAAATATTCCAACAACAAAAAAATGGGACAGAGAAGATAAATGGAACAAGATCAGCAAAACGTCCAAAGTTGTTGAAGCTGGTTTTATATATGAGGTTTAGTATGCAAGACTCTACTCTTGCGTAAATCTTTAAGGTTTAAAATGAAAGACAGTAATAAAACAAATTCCTTAGGGCCCTGAGAAAAGCCCTCCCATGGGGCCAGCCTCCAGGATGGGCCTCCCTGCACACACCACAGGGCAGATCTGGTATGAGGGTCTTTTCACACAGGCACCCAGCTGCAGCCAGGCCTGTACGGCAGATACACCTCTCGCATCTTCAACAAAAATCTCAAATTCTATTATTCTAAATACTGTACTCTTGGCTTTTCTCTGTCGCTCTAATGAAATCAAAGAGAAGAATGTTAAAAAAAAAAAAAAGGCTAATAAGGATTTTGTCACCACATTGACCGTCCTAGAAGTGCCTCTAACGTAGCTACCCGGTGGCTCTGAGGACCGGGGGATGCTTACGCTTTCCAGCTGAAAAGCTCTTCCTCCCCTCCGCTGAGGCCTCAGGATTCTTGAGATTTTTGAGCGTGTGTCCCGCTCCCCGTCATTTCTGCTAGTTACATGTGTCTCTTTACTTTTGTGTTGAAACCTCTGGTCCATACCCTGACTGCCCCGCCACACATACCAGCCACCACTCCGGCCTTTGAAGCCAGCCCCAAGCATGCCCATTTGCACACTATCCCAGGTCTCCAGGTCCTCATCCAGGAGGTCCAAAGGGCAGTGTGCTCTTAAAGCTGGTGGCCCCACACATCGCCCTGCCCCTAAAGGCTAAGTCAGCCTGTCCTTCGCAGCTCCTCTCGCCTTCCCATTTCCTCCCTTCCCTGCCTGCCCAGTCAGCTCCTGGATCCTTTAGTGCCAGGTGCAGCAGAAGTTCCCAGAGACTCCTCCGAAGATCACGTGGCCTGTTGTCTCTGTTCTGGTCAATCTCTGGTTCCCTCCTGCTTCTCTTCTCCGAACCATGAATGGCGAAGAGCCTGATCTACCATTGTGCTCCCAACCGCTGCCCCTTCCAGGCCGCTGACCCCTGCCATGCCTGGTTCGTGCAGGTACCCCTTAGCAGGCAGCACTGGTGAGCGTTCCTCCTGCTCTGCCTTTAGCCGGGCCACTAGGGAGAAAGGGCCACTGCCAGGGAGCACACTGCCATGCTCTTCTGCTGCCTCCCTGTCTCTCTCTTGCCCTGTCTCCTAGGCTCGCCCCCTGCCCTCTCCCTCCCTCCTGGGCTGTCCAGATTGCACCCAAAGGGATGTATCAGAGTGGCCAAGTGAGAGCTGGACTCCGGAGTGCACTCTGCTGGCTGCAGCTTCAGTTGCCCTCACATGACCATGAATACTCAGAGGAGGGGCCTGTTTCTAATTCAACAAGGGGCCATCGAGGCCAGCCACAGCCCTAGAATCCTTCCCTCTGTTTCATCTGAAAAGCTCACCAGCCAGTTTCAGCCTCCCAGATCGGTATACCCTAATTATAGAGAAAAACCCCAACTCACTGGAAAGAAAATCATTGTGCCCAGATGAGTGGAAGTTAATTCTACCTTTGTTTAATTTATTAATTTATTTGAGTGAGCGTGTAGATGTTTGCAAGAGCCACTAAGGACTTAAAGTTAACAGGTACACATTTGAAAAAGGAGTGCCACCAGACACTGAGTAGTCAGCAGCGCCTGTGCTGGGGGAGCCTTTCGTTGTTGCAAGGGGTTCAAGGTCAAGGAGAGCCATGAGGTCGTGGAGTCTGGGGGCTTCATGCAGAAGGGTGGTCTTGACTGAGCTTTGAATCGGGGAGTTGGAGAGGCTGAAGGAGTTTTTTCAGCATCGTACAATCATCAGAGATGCTAAGAGTTGGGAGGAACCTTGTAGATATTCATGAACTACCCATGAAGCACTTACTTGTGTGCCAGGCACTGTGCTAGGTCCCAGGGACATGGGGGTCCCTGTGGTGGGCAAACAGGGAAGACCCCCACCCTCCTGGAGCTGACATATCAGTGGGGAGACAGGCAGCAGGCAAACCAACTGAAAAGGTGACATCACATGATGTGAAGATAGTGAAATCAAGGATTGTGTTAGGGGATACTCAGGGGTCAGGCTGCTTTGACTGTGTGGTCAGCAAAGGCTTCTCTGAGGACACAGCGTTTGACTGGAGCCTGAATGATTCAAAGGAACTAGACACGGAATCAGAGTGAAGGGCGCTCCAGGTGGAGAGCCTGAGTGCAGAATCTCTTACGGGGGATGCACTGGCTATGGGGACTCCAAAGAGGGCCAGTGTCCCTGAAGCAGAGAGAACCAAGGGATAGTGCCCTGAGCAGGAGGCTGGGGCAGAGCAGGAGGGCAGGGCAGAAGGTGCAGGGCCACACAGGAGACCGGGTCTGATCCAGTGCCCTGGAGGGCTGCCAGAACGTCTGAGCAGAAGAGGCCCTGACCTGATGTCTGACACACCCTTTCAGAGATTCCCTCTGGGTGCTGTGTGGATAAAGAGCAGTGACGGTCGAGAGCAGAACTGGGGCAGGGAGGATGCTTGTGCAGTATCCAGGCAGAGAAGATGGCAGCTTGGGCAGGGGATGGTGCTGGAGATGCAGAGAAGTGGTCAGACTTGGGGTACATTTTGCAGGTAGAACCAGCTGGATTCACTCATAGCTTAGATGTTGGAGAGAGACAAAGAGGAACGTAGGGTGACTCTGAGGTTTTCTAATTGAGCCAGTGAAGAGAAGATCCCCAATGCAGAAACTATATCCACCACCTGTGCTCCTTGTGCCCCAAGGCACTGCCCTGGGTGTCTGGCCCTTACCAACCAGGCACTCCCTTCAGCTGGTAGCAGACTCTTGTGCCCTGCTAGAAACTAAGCTCCTTGAGGACAAGAACTATGGCTTTGTGTTCTCAGCCTTGGGCTCAATACTCTCTAGGCACCAGATCTTACAAATGTCTTTACTTTATGTGGCCAAGAGCAAAATCACAGAAGTGAAAATGAGCATCAAATGGAGAGGGGCAAGGGCTGCCAAGGACCAAGGGCGGGGCTTCGAGTGCTACCCTGGTTTTACTTTGGAATCCTCTGACCTGCCGTCCAAAATGCAGCAGCAACTCCAGAGTGCAGCAGCACCTCACTTCCCGTGCTTTTTCCAATCCTCCAAGAACAAAAATGAGAAAAAAAAGATCCCTAATGTATTCCACTGGCATTTGGGAGTAGAAGACTAGATGGTTCAGTTGCCAACACCAAAATGAGCTTTGCCTGACTTTTCCTGATCTCTCAGCCTCCCTCCACATCCATAGTACCTGCTAAGCATCGCATGCTGTTGAAGTTGTGTTCCTTTACAAATCGGAGTTTGTCCTTCAGAAATCGTTTCCCGTTAAGCACTGTGCCTGACGTTCAGCTGCTCTGTGACTGAATGGACCAGCTAACTTGCTTCTCCCCAGGAATGCAGCTCAGCATGGAGCTTCATAAACAGGGAGGGAGCTCGTACAGATGGAAGAGCCTACACCATTTTCCATTAGGAGCTTCGAATGGCACAAAGCTATAGTAAATAGGGGTTTCTGTAAACATAAATGATTAAAATAAGCACAGAATTACCTGTTATCAAATCACCATGGAGAAGAAAGTGTTGGGTCATTTCGAGCAAAACTGAAAAGAATACAAACACCTAGGCAGGAATTTAAGATCCTTCTCAGTTAAATTTCACTTGACATATCATGATTTAGGCCAACTCTGGTTTTACTTATTCGACTTTAATTAGAAGACTTTTCTTTTACATACCAAGGGTAGGGTGTCACAAGAACTCCAACTCTTGGCCTGTAGACAGTTTTTCATCTTGGACCTCTCTTCTGCTGAAAAAATATCAATTGTCTTGCTGGTCAGCTCTAATTACCCTAGGGAAAGAATCTGATTGATGCCTGTATGGTACTGGTCCTCCAAAAAAGCCTTGAGTCCCTAAATGCTTGAATGCTTTTTGCTTGATAAAGAATTGCTTTCTGTGCCAGGCATTTTTTCTTTGCAATACCTGGCTTTGTTTGAACCAGAAGAGGGAGAACATGCGGAGGCCCGGCTGCATCCGTGAGACAAGCGTCCCATAACTATCTTTCTCCAGCCAGACTAGTATCCCCTTCACCTTCGTCTTATAGAGTCCCCTTCCTTCTGAAGGGTGTGGAAGTTCAATCATCATCAAGAAATAAGGGCTTCTAGTGCCAGGCATAGCTTTTCTTTCCAGGGTTTTCAGCACACAGAGAGAAGGGACAGACATTTAAAATCAGTCATCAAGGCACTGGAGGCAGAGGTTCTGCTGGGATTCGTGGAAAGGTCATTCCCTGGAGCACCAGTACTGAGGAAAGCCGGATGGAGGATGCTATCTGGATTGGGGGTCCTTGTGTGCTCTGCAGAGAGGGAGATGAAGAGCAGCTCAAACAGAGAGAGAGAGAGCATGAGGAACGACGGAGCACACAGTGAACTTGTCAGCTCACTAGGGCTACCATAACCAGTGACCACACGCTGGGCAGCTTAAACAGCACAATGCATCCTTTTATGGTTCTAGAGGCTGGAAGTCCAAAATCAAGGGGTCTGCAGGGTCAAGCACCTTCTGAAAGGCTCTTGGGAATAATCCTCACTTACCTCTCCTAACTTCTTGTGGTTGCCGGCAGTCCTTGGCTTGTAGATGCATCCCTCCAGTCTCTGCCTCTGTCTTTACATGGCCTTCTTCCCTGAGTGTGTTTTTGTGTCTCTGTGCCTGTCTTTATGAGGAGAACAGTAGTTAGATTTAGGGCCCATCCTAGCCCAGAATAACTTCATCATAACCAATTACATCTGCAAAGGCCATATTTCCAAATAAGGTCACATTGCGAAGTTCTAGGTAGGCATGAGTTTGCAGGGAAACTGTTCAACGCACTGTAGTGAAGTGTTCAGAAAATAGTTTCATGTGAGTGGACAGTTTGTTAGGGAATAAAAGGTGGTAAGGATCTGACTGAGAAAGATGTTGAACACTAATCTACAGGCTTCGAGTCTGTCCCATAGCGGCTGCTATGTGCCTGGCACCATTCTGAGGTATAGATGTACTGTTATTATTATTCCACCTTAGATGGAGAAACTGAGGCACAGAGAGACTCAGTAAAAAGCCCACAGCTAGAAAAACAGAGCCAGGATTCTGATCCAGGCGACTGGCTGGAGAGTCTGCTCTTCACTCCCATGTTGTTACTTTCCCCTTCTGAGCATCTTCAACACATTTGACCAGCACAGGATATGCAGTGCTTCCCCCCATGAGCATTGTGCTTGCAAGCGCAGAAATAAGTTGCCTGACTTTCTTCCACAGTAAATGTGGCCACTGGCAGGGAGAACAAAGGCGCTTCTTTAGTTGGTGTCAGTGTCTAAACCTTTGCATGAAGGGCCTGTTGTGGTCAGTAGCATTGCCCTGTTATCTCGACAGCACATGATTTTGTTGTCGTCGTCGTTTTGTTTTGTTTCAGAAATTGGGAAAGTGTTGGTTTTTAATTCCTGGAACTTCCAAGGGTGGGGTTATTTGCAAGGGATTCCACAAGCCAACTAAGCCATATCCTTTCCCCAACCTGCAGCCTAGATAGATGAGTAACACCTGGCAGTGCCCTGTCCTACCTGGTCACCTTTTCTCATACCTTACAACTAGGATGACTAACCACCCCAGTTTGCCCAGAACTAGGGGGTTTCCTGGGATGTGGGAATTTTAGTTTTAAAACCAGGACAAGTCGGTCACCCTACTTACAGTCCCCCTTATTGTGCACTGCCAGCTACGTCTTCTCCAACAGAGATGAGCTGCAGCAGCACCCACAGGGAGATGGCAGAATGTCTGTCTTGGTTGGTACCCTACATTTTCAGAGCCATAATCATGTCTGCCAGTAGGAAGGTCTCTGAAAGTGGTAAAATAAGTGGGAGTGCTGGAGTTATTTAGAATGGTGCTGTTCTTCTTACAGGAGAAGAGGATGAGGAGGAGCCAGAGATGCCTGTCGGCCCTCGCCCACGCCCACTCTCTGAGCTTCACCTTAAGGAAAAGGCAGTGCCCATGCCAGAAGCCAGTGCGTTTTTCGTCTTCAGCTCTAACAACAGGTGTGCAGCGATGGTGGGGAAGGTGGGCTCCTGCTCTCCCTCGTACCAGCCTGGCCGTTTCCTGTGTTTTACCTGAACCTCCGGATGGAGCCTGAGGCTCTCCCAGCTCCCTGCAAATTGTATAAACAGACACTGATTTAGGAAACAGTCCTGGATTTTGAATCAGAAGGCTTGTGTTTTATTTTTCTCTGCACTTTTCGGTTTTTTTTTTTTTTTTTTTTTTTTTTTGGAGACAGAGTCTCGCTCTGCCGCCCAGCCTGGAGTGCGGTGGCATAATCTCGGCTCACTGCAAGCTCCGCCTCCCGGGTTCAAGCCATTCTCCTGCCTCAGCCTCCCAAGTAGCTGGGACTACCAGCGCCCGCCACAGTGCCCAGCTAATTTTTTGTATTTTTAGTAGAGATGGGGTTTTACTGTGTTAGTCAGGATGGTCTCGATCTCCTGACCTTGTGATCTGCCCGCCTCGGCCTCCCAGAGTGCTGGGATTACAGGCGTGAGCCACCGCGCCCGGCCTTTTCTCTCCACTTTTTGAAATGTTTAAACTCTATTTCTATTCTTTGGGTGATTACCCTTGATAATTTACTAATTCTATTTAACTTAACAAAATGTGATGTTAAACAATATCAAGAATCTCCTCCTGTATAATAGATTGACCTTAGACTATTTTAACTCACTCATCTGCTCCTTACTTACATGGAATTGTCATTAGTAACTTAGTCCAACTTTTATTTTTAACCCAACAAGTTAGTGAGTCTTATTATCATATAGATAGTGTGTGTTTGGATATATGTACACCTTACCATTTTATTTGTTCACCTTTTTTTTATTCATTTCCGTCCATCCTTTAGCTAACATTTTCTTTCCTACTAAAGTACATTCTTTAGAAGCTCCTTTAGTTCCATAATGGCAAATTCACTTGGCCTCTGCTTACCTATAACTGTTTTCACTTCTTGCTCTTGAAAGATAGTTTTGCTGTGAACACTATTTTAGACAGTTTTTGTCCTGCAGCACAAGAAAGGTGTTATTCCACTGTAAAGTCAGGTGTCATTCCAACTATGAGTTCTTTGTGAGTAACCTAACCTTTATTTGTAGCTGCTTTTAACATATTCTGTTGCCTTTGTGGTTGTACAGATTTACTACCATGTGTCAAGGTGTGGATTTCTTTCCATTTATCTTGCTTAGAATACATTCTGCTTCCTAAGCCTATGGATTTAGATTTTTATTTAATGAAAATGTACAGCCATAATGTTTAAATCTTACTTCTTTTTAATTCTATATTTCTTCCTTTTGACACTCCAATTGGACATCTGTTAGACTTTTTCATTCTGTTCTCCCTATTTCTTAGAGGGCCTTACATATCTTTCATCTCCTTGTCTTTCTGTATTCTGGGAGATTTCTTCAGCTGTATCTTCCAGTTTCTTAATTCTATTTTCAACTTAATCTATATTACTGTCTAAACCAATTTTTTATCTTGACCATTATATGTTTTTGTTTTAGTTGGTTCCATTTGTTGCTTGATTTTCCAGATTCATCGCTCTAAATCTAGTAGTTTCTATTGATGCCTCATCTTTGTGATTTAGTCCTTTATTTCATTAAATATTTCAAATATAGTTGTTTTATAGTCTATATCTAATATTTCCAATACCCCCAGTCTTTGGAATCTAAATCACTTATCTGGTGTTTCTTCAGATTTCCCATCTTAGTGGCTTGTCCTTTGGTGCATCTGATGATCTTTGATTGTGACCCCAACACTTCTTCTTCATTTGTGAGAGTCCTGAGGACTAAAGTAGGTCTGGGGAGGCTTTCTTCCAGATGCCCCTTGGAGGTGTTGGCTCAGCCTTTCCTGCCCCATGTCAAGACTGGCTTAACCTGCAATTTCTTGACAGCACTGCTGTTATTGGCTTCCATCCTCAAGCAATTCTGCCTTCCTGGCTGGCTCTCTCTCCATACATAGCCTCAGCTCAGTGGAGGTTGGCGGGAGGGGTTGTTAGTTTGAAGCAGATGATTCTTACAGCCATCTCCTAACTCTCATAAACCAGAATTGTCTCAGAGAGCTTGGCCCTTCGAGGGTTTGGTGCTTCTGCAGCAGGAGGGCTTCTCAGAGCATTTAGTCAACCATAATGCCAGGAGCAGAAGTCTGAAGGCCTGGGTTGAAGCCCTGGCTCCCCAACACTAAGGCTATGTTTCTGGGCAAGCTTCTCCTACTTGGGTTTCAGTGTTCTTACCTGTGAAATGAAGATGATGACACCCATCCCTTCCTTCCTACATTGTTGTCAAGATGAGATGGTGTACAAGACACTTTCACATTTAGGAACCTAGCATTTTTGGTGCTATCACTGAGCGCCTAGAAGCTCAGGTGGGTAATTGTGCTGGGGCATGGAAGTGAATTGCACATGTAAAGCTCTTACACAGGAGCAGATCACCTACAGAAAGCCAGCTTGGCCGGCTCCTCAGCATACCCAGCTCCGGGCAGTCCTATTGTTCCCTGTGCATTAGCATAGAGCAGATCTCATAAAGTGATTTCTTTTCAATGATAGGGAAAATAAGTCCCCAAACAAAAGCCAGTTATGAATGTCAGAGCAGGATTTGGGAATTCAGAGATTCTCAAAGGTCTCAGATGTAACCTTCTAAAATATCAAAGGTGATATCTGCACCATGGCGGTGAGGGGTTGTCATTACCAAGCGGCAGTAAGACTTCAAAATGAAGAGGTCACTTGAAGCCAACAAGCACCAGTTACCAGCTGCTGGGAAGAGCTGAGGGGACAGGCTCCCAAGAGCCGACTGCTGCTTCCCCTTGTCTGCCTTGACTTGTCTCTCCTCCTGTCCCCCCTCCCATATAGGTTTCGCCTGCAGTGCCACCGCATTGTCAACGACACGATCTTCACCAACCTGATCCTCTTCTTCATTCTGCTCAGCAGCATTTCCCTGGCTGCTGAGGACCCGGTCCAGCACACCTCCTTCAGGAACCACGTATGCATTGCCTGTGTCCTCTGCACTCCTTCCCTCTGGGGCTGTGCCGGGCCCACAGCTTCTGTTGCTGACATCATTGTTCAATCCGGAGCCCAATTCTAGATGTCATAATCAGATCCACAACTGACATTTCATTAAGAGAGTAGGGCTTTGATAGAAAACCACCCTAGGACCACAAACAAGTAAGAGAGCATGTACCCAAATGCTCAGGCTGGCTTGATCATTGGCAAAGGGTAGGACTTCCATTGCCTGTGGATGTTCCCCAGGAAGCTCTAGTTCCCTGCAAACTTGGTAAAATGTGGCCACTGACTACATGCCCTCCCTTGCTCCCAGCGTACTCTGACCAGAAGGGGAGCATTGGCAAATAGGTGCCAATGATGAGGCTAACCTTACCTAAAAGAGAGTCTTGGTACCTTCAGTAGAGTACACCAAATGTGAGGACCCCACCCAAGGCTCTGTTGAACAACGTTAAAGGCCAGTTTAAGAATTGCTGTATTTCAAAACCTCAAAACTTTGTCAAGTCCAACCAAGTGGGCATGAAGACAACCCACTGATCTAAAGCCATACCCATGCCAAACTACTCTGCACTCCTGGGGCCTGCTTGGTCCCGGGCTATCTTGGTGAGGTTAGCAGGTGTTGGCCCCACCCCTGATCCATCACCTGAAATAGAATAAGTATGCAGTCCTGCAGCCGGTCCTCAGCCTGTGCAGACCTCACCTGGAGGATGCACCTCCTTTGCCCCAGAGGACATAACCCAGGAGTAGATTTCTACCAACACAGGAAGCTCGCCAGCTCAGTCCCACCAACAAGAGCGAAGCATTTTTAATCTCCCTGCAAAAAGACAAACCCCATTCTCTGTCCTTTTGACAAGCATCTCAGTGGTCCGATTTGGGTTTGTAAGTAAATTGGATTAATGGGAAAAGCATCCAGCCAGATGCTGCTCAGATCCAGTACCAGCTGAGGCCAGCCCTGGAAGCTCACCTCACTTATCTGGGGGCTTCAAGGGAAGCCGCTGTGCTGCCTGAGGCTAGCCCCACCTCAGGATCGCTGTGTGCGTGCTGCTCGCCCCCCATTTCCATCTGTGTCCCTGTGCAAAGGCTCAAGTGCCATGCATCTCATTTTGAAGTGTGGCCCCTTTTCTGGTGAACATCCACTGACCTCTCTTCCCATCCTGCTTTTCTCCCTTCCCCATCCCATCCTCACCCTGTTCCTTTTTGTTTTGCAGATTCTGTTTTATTTTGATATTGTTTTTACCACCATTTTCACCATTGAAATTGCTCTGAAGGTAAAGCCCCCATCCCCCTCTGCTCCTCCTGTCCCCCTTGTGCCAGCACCAGGTCTCTGCCGCTGTCTGTCGCTAACACACATGCTCCTTCCTGTTGGTGTCGGGTTCACTCTCAGAGCCACTAATCCAATTATGCTTATTTTTCAGATCCTAGGCAATGCAGACTATGTCTTCACTAGTATCTTTACATTAGAAATTATCCTTAAGGTAATGCAACCTGGGCAATGCATCCTCTGTCGCTTTCTTTGTGTATCTCTGCTCTGTCTGGCTGGCTCTTTTCTCTCTTCTGTTTCTTTCACTCTCTCTTTTTTTTACTCCCAAGCCTGAAATTGGAAAAATGAGTGCCCCTCACTTTGTGTGATGCACTTTGCCCAGACTCAGAAGCCAGGAGCAGCCTACCCCACTGCAGCCCCTCCCTCCAGCCACCCCTAAGCAGTCTGTGCCCTGGAAGGGACACGTGTTGGCTGTGCCAACATCAAGGCTGCCATTTCACTGGTTTGGGCTGCAGCCGTCAGCAGCGCCAGACATACATGCCCACACGCACCAGCTCTGGGTAATTGATACCTGAGCCCACGTAGGACTCTCCTTCCCTCCCCCTGCTCCATACACTCTGAAAGTGGGAAACCTCCTGGGACATGAAAGAATCACTTCGGCTGCTGTCTTTGGATGCCCGTCCTTAGCACCGTCCTCTGTACTTGCAGCAGACATTGGGTCTAAGCTGGGGTTAGGGGCACATAACAGTGATCACAGGCCTGCTGTGAGATGTGGAGCTGGTCTCCGAGCTGAGGGCTTTCAGCAGGTAGCTATAGACTACTGTCAACCCCTCAGTCACCTGCTGCAAAGCTTTGTCACAGTGCCCCTTGCCCTGAGCGTGGGGGAGGGAGGACTGTGCTGGAGAGCTGAGTACAGCGGGGTGAGAGCAGGTGCTGCAAGGAACCTGAGCACCCAGCCCCCAGCCCCAGCCCCCAGCCCTCACCTGCTGCTGGCCCAGCTCAGTTCTGCTAAGGGAACTGCTACAACATTGCTACCCTCAGAACAGGCAGAGCCCACCACAGAGCAACACTGGGATGAGAGAGAGTGTGCCTCCATTTTTCCGGTATATTTCTGAGTCTCTAAACCAATGCATGGCCAAGCCAGTTCATCTGAGAGTCAAGGTGTGAGTTCCATGGCCTCAGGGAACGTGTGCTCCTCTCTGAGCAAGGGGGTAGATTCTACCCTTTCCCCAAACAGAAGGACTAAGGCTCTGAAGTCCATGCTTCAGCTTTAGCTTCTTCCTGGGAGACTAGGCTGGGACTCCCCCTCCCAAGGAGTCCAGAATCCCTTGTCATCCTATCGCTGTGGCCAGTGCAAGCTGAAGTCCACACCTGACCGATGCCACTGCCAGCTGCAGACCTTTCCTTCCCTGATGAGACTCCCTCATCATGGCCCAGCTTGTTGATGGACATGACAGTTCAGTCACATCCAAATACAAATTGAATGGGGCAGTTTTTGTGTGCCTTCCCCTGTGTCCTTGTCCCCAGGATACTCAGGTGTCCCCAGTTTCCATCCCTGGTTCCCGCTAGCCAAGTATGTGGCTCAGATTTTTCTTTTCTGCTCATGGAGAGTAGATCTGACCAGGCTCTGGCTCCTGGAGGTCGGGAGAGGGAACCGAAAGTTGTGTGGCTGCACTAAGGTGCGCTGCGGCAAAACCTTTTTTCCATGGTGAGCTGCTTTGATTCCTGGACTTCAGATGCAGGGAGGCACACAGACACCAGAGGTCTCTCCTAGGACAAGAGAAGCTCTGAGGCCCAATTCTCAGTGCCCTTCTCCAGAGCTGCCCTTGTGGATTTCAATGGTGCTATTTCTCCTTCGGGATTGCCATACAAACCAAAGTGAAAGGTCTCTTTGCAACCATTGTCATGGCAAGGTCCTTCCCTCCCCTCCATCCCCTCCCTCTTCTACTCTCTTCTGTGCTCAGCATGCTTCTCGATAGACACCCCGATGCCGGAACACTTCCCTGTACCTCCTTCCCACTGGGTCCCTCTTCCTGGCCTAAGGCCCAGTGTCATGTCGTGGCACAGATGACCGTGGCTGTCCAAGGGGGACATTTAGCACAAGGAACAGTGGAGGGGCCTGGAGATGTTTGGCCTTAAAAAGGAAAGGCTTGTAGGCCCACAACAGTTGCTGAGTAATATAAGGGACTGTCACATAGAAGAGGAAGAAGGTAGAATCAGGACCCATGAGTAGAAATCACATTAAAAAGACAGGTTTCCTAACTAGGAGAGCTGCCTGGAGAGGCAGGGATGGCCCATGGTTGAACAGAGAGCTTTCCTACCCTTCCAGGCAGAGCCAGCGAGCCACGTCCCATTCCTTTCCTTCCTCAGGATAGAAGCACCCCAGCAAGGGCCGCTTCCCAAGTAATGGTGTAGAATTAGGCAAGCAGGACCCAGGTGGCTGGCAATCGGAAAAACAGGGTCAAAGAGGGACAATTCGCACTGGGTACCTGAGCCTGGCTTTTCCTGATGCCCTGAATGGCACAGATGACTCTCAAGTGAATGCTCTGTTCTCCCCACGTCCGTTTGGCCTTTCTCGTACAGCCACTCTTCCTCTGGCCCTGGGTGCACACTCCCACCGCCCCCATATGCACACACATACACTTGCTCAAGTGTTGGTCTCATTTGAGGGTCCCCAGACGAAACAGGAGCCCAAAACCAGAGGACAGAGTCGGCACTCTGAGCCTCGTTAGTCCACCCCTCTGAGGAATGCCTTCCGCCGAGCACAGAGGGTTCTGTCAGAGTTCAGTAGTAGCCTCGGAAGATCCAAGCCCGGAGCAAGAAGAAATTGGACCCGGTGCCTTCCTAACACTAAAAGCGAGGTGGCTGGGGAAGTACTGGGCTTTCTGCAGGCACAGAGGGCTCTTTGGTTAATGTGAACTATGGGAGCCTCCTGAGTCCAGTCTCTGGGGGTCCCAGGTCTTCACTGAGAGGTGAAGAGGCGAGCCTTCCAGACGGTGGGCCTTCTGGAACTATACTCCCTTGCATCTTTTATATAATCTACCCACTTCTAAAAATCATTGCCCAACACAGGTGCCTGAGTCCTGTGGGAACCCCTACTGCAAGAGATAAATGGAAAGAATTAGGTTGCAAGAGCTATTTTTGCCCATTTCCCCCTGTGTTTGCTTTTGAATGGCTCTGCGGACACTCTGCCCTGGGCACGCTCTGATTCCAAAGAGATTAACTGGGCCCCAGATGACCAGGGAGCCTCGCTCCCCTTCTCCACCGTCAGTTCCACATTTTTCCCTTTGGCCGATGCTTCCTGTCTGCTGCCTGTCACCGCCCTTATCCTGGATAACCACGGGCCCTTATGCAAGTCGGCAAAATGAGAAAGGCTATAAAGGCGATTTGTTGAGCGCCTGCAGTGCACAGCTTTACACCAGGCTCAGAGGGTGGTAATAATGGCCAAGTCCTGTAACAGTCATCATCATCTTGTGTGTTCTCTTTTAAAAAGTTTCCAAAGGGCTTTCACAAAGCCAGGGGATAGTTTCCTCACTTTATGATGAGAGAACAGAACTTTCCTCATCCAGGAAGCATCCGGAATACAAATCCAGGCTGTAGTGACAGCTCAGCCTTTTATGGGGCTCACTGCGTGCAGGGTGGGTCCTAAGTATTTTACACAGAAGTACCCGCTTGATGCTTACAACCCTGTAGGGTGGGTCGTATCCTCGTTTTCCAATGAGGAAACAGAGGCACTAAGGGAAGTTGAGTTTCTTGCTCCAGGCCACACAAATAAAATACCATGGGGCTGGGATTCCAGCCCAGGCCGCCTGGCCTCAGAGCCTGTGCTCTTAGCCACGGAGCCTCATAGCCCCTCTGATCACACAGTTTTTTGCCCTTAAAAAACTCCAGATGCAGTCTAGAAGCAAGACAGGAGAATTGAGTTTAGAATAGTTGGCATCAATCGTCAGCACCCTTTGAGGCCAGGAAGGGGAGGTATGCTAATTGCCAGAGTCACCACTGGAACTTCTCACCAGGCACCAGGGTGACCAGCTGGCCTAGTTTGCCTCAGACTGAGGAGTTTCCCGGGATACAGGATTTCTGGTGATAAAGCAAACCTGGGCAAACCAGGATGGCTGGTCACCCTCCTGGGCATGCCCCCCCACCCCCGCCCCACTCCCTGCAGATGCCCGATGCTCTCAGCTGGCCTAAGGACTCAAGCATTCAGAGAAGCAGTCGGGACATGTGCTCCCAGCCCGAGAGCATCAGGAAAGGACCCTACAGGCCCGAAGCCACGGACTTGGGATGTGGAACAGCGGGAAATTAGAATGGGATGGTGGGGCCCACGTGAAAAGGCTTTGAATGTAGGACTAAAGAGCCTGGCGTGGCCTGGCAGGTGCAAGGAGCCACCCAGAAGTCCTGGGCTGGGAGATTCTTGGGCGATTGTGTGCATGGTGGCAGAACTCATTTCTCGGCACCATATTGCCGTCTTTGTCCTTCCTGTTCCCCGTGGATGGTGCTTGGGACTTGCCCAAGGAATGCTGTGGGAGGAAGGGGTGGTGTGAGGGGTCTCTGGGCTTGGGCTCGGGCCACTCACACTGGTGTTTCTCTGTCCCTCCCTGCAGATGACTGCTTATGGGGCTTTTCTGCACAAGGGCTCCTTCTGCCGGAACTACTTCAACATCCTGGACCTGCTGGTGGTCAGCGTGTCCCTCATCTCCTTTGGCATCCAGTGAGTGGACCCCCCTCAGCCCACGACGGGCCATGCTGCTAGCAAGGGGTGCCAGAGAGGACAACCAAACCCTGGAGGGCCCGCCTGCAGGGCCACCGAAGTGTGATGAGAGTGGGGTGGGGCCTCCGAAGCTGTACATGGCGGCTTTGAGTTCTTGGATCCGTGTCCTCGGTGGTCTGACACTTGGGGCATGTTCATCAGGCGCGAATATGTTTAAATACCTGGGTTTTGCCATGACAGGCAGGGCCAGGCTCAGCTATTAAGAAACGGTTGTCCCCAGGACCTTCCTGCCTCCTCCACCACGGCCCCAGTGCCCTAGGCTGACCTTCAGCAACCCGTAGTCTGCCACTGCCGTGGCCTCCCCTGACCTGGACCCTCTTCCCTTTCTCTCCCCTCTCTCTCCAGCCAAAGCACCTCATGTATGAGTGTATGTGTGAATGTGTATATATGTCTGTGTAAGTGGGGTGTATGTGTGCATGTGTGTGTATGTGTGGGGTGTGTGTATATGTGTATGTGTGTTTGTGGATGTGTGTATGTGTGTATGTATGCGCTTGTATGCATGTGTTTGTGGGTTTGTGTCTGCATATGTGTCTATATGGGTGTGTATGTGGATGTATATGTGGATGTATGTGCATATGTGTGTGTGTGTGTGACTGTATATTTGTGTCTTGTGTGTGTGCGTGTGTGTGTGTATGTGTGTGTGTGTTTCGTTTCACTGGGCTGGGGTACAGTCTGGGTGTGAGTTCTCAGAGCTCTCCAGGTGACTCCCCTGTACAGCCAAGGTTGCAGACCTCGTTCAGGTGTGGAGGATCTGATTACTAGTTTCTACCAAGTTCTAACAGCTGATAGTGTGAATCCTACACTTTAACTTTCAAAGCACTTCCACATACACGTTCTTCTATGGTCCTCACACACACACAACGATGGGGGAGACATGGCAAGTGTTATTATCATCATTGTATAGATGGGAAATTTGGGGTTCAGGACATCATGGCACTTGCTCAAGGTCACACCTATGGTAGAGAAAGGCCTAAGTCCCATGGTTCCTAGATCTCTCCTCCCAAGCGTGTTTTCATGGTCGGCTGAGATCATGCAGGGACCGGGGCCTTGGGAGAGACCCTTGTCTGTGATCATCAATTATATTACCCCGTATTTTCTGCCTGGGAGCCTACAAGTCTAGATTTGAATCCCAGCGTGGCCACTCAATCACTATTTAACCTTGAACGAGGAATTCTTCCTCTTCAGCCTGTGTGTTTCCCATCTGACCTTTAAACCCCTTCCGTTGTAATTCAGTGCAAGCTGACTCCCTCCCAGAGAGACTGTAGGAGAGACAGTGATAGACAGGAGTGGCCTTTGCTTCTCTTGGCATAAAAGAGCTATGCACCAGAGAAATCGGATCTTTCCGCCAGCCCCTTCTTGAGCACATCATCCTGACCACACAAAGCATGAAATCAGCACTTGCTGGCCTGCCATTCATTGTTTAGGTCCCAAGGCAAGTATGAGGCTCTCTAAAAGCTTGAGAGGCTGTCTGAGGTAGTTAGCCCGTGAGGGTTAGGATGTACTCCACGGCTGCTCACCGAGGTGGTATGGTTAGTAAGCCCCACCTGGGTAGGACGGACAGCTCCAAAAACCATCCAGGCATCTTGCTCAGGGGCCTGTCTCCTGCTGTCTCCATCGCACTGGGGAAAAGCAGTTTCCTGAGACTCCAAGAAGCTCTGGCTTGGCCTCAGCATCCCAGGAGTGTGGAACCTGTAGTGCAGTGTAGGAGCCAAAGGGCCTTCTGAAGGGTCACTGAAAAATCAACCGACAAGAGAAAGGTTAATTGGAGAAAAAGCATTCACATTTATTTCACGTGTATACACAGAGCCTTCAGAATGCAGACCCAAAGATACAGGGAAAATTGTCCATTTTTATGCTTTGGTTCCAAAAAAGTATGGACAGCCATGTAGAAATGTGACTGGACAAGAAGGGTAGGATCTAACGTGAATGGACTGAGTGGGGAACCCAGCAAGGCCTGTCTCTAGGTTCTTCGCCTCTCTGTGAAGCATTCCTTCCTTCTGGGCTGGCGACAGGATCCTGTCTGCAATAGGAGTCTTAGGATCTACACTCCCACGTGGTAGATCTGAGGATTTTTTTATGGCCAGTTTTTATACAGAAAAGCAGAGGGAAAATTTAAGTAATATTTTTAGGTTGTGTGGCTGGCTTTGAGGAAACGGGATTCTGGGTTCTGGCTTCTTGACCCATCTTGGAGAAGGGGGATTCTAGTGTCTATGGCTAGCCTCGGAGGAGAAGGGGACTGAGACAGGAGGGCAAGAGAAGTTCAGAGAAAAACTTGTGCTTCCGAGACTGCTTCTAAGGCAGTCATTTCGGGGTGGTGTTTCCTGAGCCCCAACAGTAAAGCCCACCCTTCCTTGGAGTCCTGAGTGTGCTCTGGGTGGGTTTTAGGTATAGGTGCCAGGGGCAACTGTCTAGGGTATGTGTTTGGAGATAAACACTACGAAATCTCCTCCCCATGCCCATCACCTCCAGCCACAAGACCCGAGATCCCACCATTAGTACGGCATTCCTTTAAGTGTAATGATGTCTTCAGCAGGCATCATGATAAAAGGTACCATTTAGGCAGTTTATCAAGCACACGGCTAGGTGATTTACATGGAACTCTTATATAACCCTTGCAGAGACCTTCTGAGCTGATTACAGACCCATTTTACAGATAAAGAAACTAGAGCTCAGAAAATTGAGGAAATTTGTCCTCAGTGCCTTGGCTAGCAAGTGCCTGTGCTGGGCTCTGAATTCCCATGGCCTCGCTCTGGATTTCTTCTGTGACACTGTGGGTGCCCCTGCAAGTAGCACAGTACATTGCTAATGACCTGCGTTGAGCCACTTTGTGTATTATTTATTCACCCAAAGGAAAGCCCCAGGGTTATAGGCGAGCTCCAGGCTCTCACGGGGTGGGAGACAGGAGTAGAGAGTGGTCCCAGAATGCAAACGTCCCCAAGATGAGCTTTACATTTTCTCAGGTTTGCCTGGGATTCACCTGTCAGGACACTCCCTTACCACATTATTTTTGCTCCCCCCAGAAACAGGAGGAGCTTACTACCCTGCCTGTTTCCCTCTCCCAGGTCCAGTGCAATCAATGTCGTGAAGATCTTGCGAGTCCTGCGAGTACTCAGGCCCCTGAGGGCTATCAACAGGGCCAAGGGGCTAAAGGTAAGTTGAGGGCATGGGTAGGGAGGCTCCGGCCAGCCCACTGGGGAGTGGGAGCTCCACAGAGGTGAGGGTTGGGTTGGAAGGAGGAGATGATGGTCAGGCCAAGTGGCTGCCATGTGGGGTCCTGGACACTGGTACCACTGCATGTCCCGGATCCGTAATGAACAGAAGAGTAACAGAGGCAGTCATCCAAAGTGTCTTCCCTAAGCAGAACCAAAGGGAGATCCCATGAAAGCCCTGGGCCCCTGCGGTGCCGCCATCCCTATATTCCTTCTACTGTAAGATGGGAGGTTAGCAGGGCTTTTGTCCTTGTAGTCACAGAGAGCCCAGTGGGGGCCTTTGCATCCCATTAGGGTCTATCACTTCCCATGTGACTCTCGGAGCATGGCTTTGCCCCTCTCAGCCCAATGACTCCCGCTTGTGGCAAACGGGCTGCCCCTGCTACCTCCTGGAAAGGCTCCGGGCATCTCCTGAAGCCACGTCTCTCTCCCCTTCCCTTCCCACTGCAGCATGTGGTTCAGTGTGTGTTTGTCGCCATCCGGACCATCGGGAACATCGTGATTGTCACCACCCTGCTGCAGTTCATGTTCGCCTGCATCGGGGTCCAGCTCTTCAAGGTAAAGTCTGGGCTCCGCTGTGGTCCTGCTTCCTCCCCTCCCATCAGCATTCCCGGGGAAGGGAGCTGGCAGATACTGGACGAACAAGACAGTGGCCTGGGCCAGACTTGGCCTGGATGTAACCTCCACCTGCAGCCCAACTCCAGCTTCAGACCAGGGGAGGGAGGCGCTAGAAGGAGGTATCGGGCCACCAGGCCAGAGGCCCCTCACGCTCTCCACTTCACCTGCCCTTCAGGTCACTGCCCTTCCTTCTAGAAAGAGAGGGAGAGGGACTTGCATCCTGTGGAAGCTCTGTGTCAGTCACTTGCTTAAAGCCTGCAGCAGTGACCTATTACCAACAGCATCACGTCCCTGCTACACCACCCAGCTTTCAGAGCCCCGCACCTGTCAAAGTCAGCTCCCGCTGCTTCCTGCAGCACCCCTCGGATACAACGAGGCCAGTGCCCTCCTTGGATTCTGGTCTTTTTTGTCCTCACCCTTTTAGTTCTGCTTTTCTCCCACCTAGAGCATTCTCCCCTGCCACCCCTCCACTGTGTAAACTCCCATCTAATTCATCCCTCTGAGTCCAGCTCCACTTCTCCCTCCCTGGCGAGACCTTCATGGAGAGTACAGCTCCCATGCACCCGAGCTCCCGTTTTTGCATTGCAGGGCTACTTGCAGCACTGGCGTCTGTATTCACCACTGTTTTGTGCATGGGAGTCAGGCCCTGCGCATCTGGATTCTACACTTTTGTTTTTTTTGTTTTGTTTTGTTTTGTTTCGTTGTTTTGTTTTGATACGAAGTCTCACTCTGTCGCCCAGGCTGGAGTGCAGTGGCGCGATCTCAGCTCACAGCAAGCTCTTCCTCCCGGGTTCACGCCATTGTCCTGCCTCAGCCTCTTGAGTAGCTGGGACTACAGGCGCCCGCCACCATGCCCGGCCAATTTTTTGTATTTTTAATAGAGACGGGGTTTCACCATTCACAGGATGGTCTCCATATCCTGACCTTGTGATCCACCCGCCTCAGCCTCCCAAAGTGCTGGGATTACAGGTGTGAGCCACCGCACCTGGCCGGATTCTACGCTTTTTGTCCCTGGCACAGTGCTGGGCTATGGAGGTGCTCACTAATTGTTTTTGGATTGACTCATTGATTACTGAACATCTCTAATACTCTGTTCTCTGCCTTCCAGGGAAAGCTGTACACCTGTTCAGACAGTTCCAAGCAGACAGAGGCGGAATGCAAGTGAGTGGAGGTGGGAGGGCAGCCAGGGCCACGGCCAGTCAGCCCCAGGAGGCTGGAGGCTTGACCAGAAAGGAGGGACAGCTCAGTTTCTAAGACCGCAGTGGCACCTGGACTTTTGCCTGTGTGTAATCTGGCCTCGCTGACACAATGTGTAGCATTTTTTCTTCCTGAAGTTTCTACCCACTGAAGCTCCTGCCATGGCTGGAACTGTGAAGGTCAAGCCAGGCAGTCCCATCCCACCCAGCATTCAGGGTGACTGGCAGGCGTGAGGGAAGATGGGAGACCCCAGAGTAAACTGCTTCTCCTTTCTCAGGGGCAACTACATCACGTACAAAGACGGGGAGGTTGACCACCCCATCATCCAACCCCGTAGCTGGGAGAACAGCAAGTTTGACTTTGACAATGTTCTGGCCGCCATGATGGCCCTCTTCACCGTCTCCACCTTCGAAGGGTGGCCAGAGTGAGTATGCAAACCAAGGCCTCATGAACCCTGACCTTCGAGGGCCAGTACTGACTTTCCAGCGCAAACCCAAGTTTTGTTCATGTCCCGCACTCCTTCTGGAGGTCATGTTTACCTGGGTCCTCCCCAAGCAGTGAGGTATCTTTCTAGAACAACTCACAGTCCACTGTCACTGCTGAAACACAGACTTTTCCTTCTCTAGAAAGTGTCAAGAAACTCCCACCAAAAATGACCTTTTTTTAGCCCTCTTTCCAACCTCAGCATGAGCCACAATGTCAGAGGTCTCTGTCATTACCCTTATGGCATCTGGGAGTTGGGTGTGGGGAGAGCTTCTCCAGGTGCGGGCCCTGTGGTCACCATAGAATTCAAAATTACCACTCCCAGCGTGCCCTTCGTTGGGGTAAAGATGGCTGAGATATCTTTATTAACTGGACCCCGGTCTCCTTAGGAAAAGCCTTGCCTATATTTATAGAGGATAGTGAGAAAGGGATGGAGGCCTGGGCCCCACGTCCTCTGCTGAGGCAATGCGTTTGTGCCTAGAGCAGCCCATGGCCCTTGCACACTGTGTCACCTCTACCAGGCACCTTCCCATCAGGTCTTTATATCTTTGTATAGACACCTGTTTTTCTCCCAATGTGTATTCCAGTGAAATTAGAATCTGAAAGTCAGAAAATTCTAAATGTTTCTAAGTCAACAGCAATGCATGGATCTTAGGTGAGAGTCATCATTATCATGCGGTAAAATATAGGTGACAGAGAATAACCAAGTGCTGTGCAGGGCTACGGAGGAAGGCAAAGAGATAATCCCTGTCCGTGAAGAATAACAAGCTCCATGGGGCATACAGCCAGGCTCAAATGAATGGCATATGTATGTAAACTGCTTAAGTCTAAAACCAGACCATTGGTGATGATCGGAGTAGCATGGGTCATGTGAGTGCTTTATCTAAGTGGATATTTGCTCTCGGAGAGATTTATTCTACATTCCCTCTAACATCCTCTGAGTCCATGCCAGTTTGCAAAGCTGTCTCAATATTTACCAATATTTCCAGTATTTGAAATCAATGCCCATGACTCATGTTACATTTAAATAGTTCTTCACAGTTTCAAAACACCTTCCTATACATTATTCTAACTTCCCTGCAAGGTAGGAAAGTCGGGAATTATTGTCTCCAATTTACAGATGAAGAATCTGAGTCTCAGAGAGGTTAAGAGCTTTGCCCAAGGTCACACAGCCAGTAAGTGGCCGAGCTGGGACTCCAGCCCAGAGCTGTCTCCTGCACCCTGATCCCTGGGATCCCTGGAGCAGTGGTGCCATCCTTCTGCAGAGGGGACCCTGCTTCTCCAGTTCCCTCTGTGGGACCTGTCTCCTCCTGCAGGCTGCTGTACCGCTCCATCGACTCCCACACCGAAGACAAGGGTCCCATCTACAATTACCGCGTGGAGATCTCCATCTTCTTCATCATCTACATCATCATCATCGCCTTCTTCATGATGAACATCTTCGTGGGCTTCGTCATCGTCACCTTCCAGGAGCAGGGGGAGCAGGAGTACAAGAACTGTGAGCTGGACAAGAACCAGGTAGCTTCCTAGGAAGGAGCGGAGGGAAGCGGGGCCCATGGAGGGAATGGCAGCCTGCGCCCACCCCGCAGAGGAGCTGCATCAGGGAGAGGCCGTGCATATACTGAGATCGTCTCTGCTTCTCAACCAGAGTGGGCTCTCGGTCTTTTTGAGGGACCTGTGCAAAAGAAATGCATATTCCCGCAAACCCCAGATCTGGCAAATGTGCTCAGCCGACAAATATCTATGAAGCTTCTACTTAAGGATACTCTGAAAGGTTTTGTCAAAAAACAAAAAATCCCATGCCCTATCTAGAAGTTAACAAGTTAGAAGGACCCAGTTGGGTCGGCACCATTGATACGGAGGAGAGAGACTAGAACTATGAGGGAGTGAGGGCTTTGGGGTGGGGAACAGGATGGCTTCAGGAAACCACTCTTATATGGTTTCTTAAGTAAAACCCAGAGGACTCTGTGGGAGGTGGGGGCAGGAAAGAGGCTTAAGTGGGAGTGAGATGGTGATGCCAAGTATCGTGACAGGTTCTGGTAGCCGTGGAGAGCTGGCAGTGCCGTGGCTGAGTCAGGAAGCTGTTAGGGTGGGAGGTAGGTGTAGTGCCTCAGGTCTGTTCCCCAGCTCGGCTCCCCCTGGGAGGAGTCCGTGGGGAAGCACATCCCTGTCTGTGAATACGGAGTGCCCACGGGAAGGAACGCAGCATGGTGTGCCCCTTGTGACCCTCACCAGGCTAGCCAATCCCCTGTGGGTCTTCAAGTCTACATCTCAGGCGTAGACTCACTCTGCTGGCTACTGCGTGGACCCTGGATTGAAAGAAGACAGGAAAGAGGGGAGGCCAGTTAGAAAGTGGAAATGAGAGAGGATTAGACCCCGATCTAATATCAGGTTAATGATGGTAGCGATGGAAAGAATAGGAGGAGGTAAAAGCGTCAAGGCTCAGGCATTGGACAGCGGGGCTGAGGGTTTGAGAAGATGCCGGGGAGATTCCCCAGTTCCTGATCTGGAAGCCTGGGCAAAGTGCAGAGAAATGGACTGGCTCTTTGCCAGAGTCCCAAGAATCTAGTTAGCCCAGAATTTTCTTCCCTGTCAGTGAACTGTGTTTTTCCATCTTATGGACACTGGCAAATAAGAAAGATTGATTTAGTTGGCCAGGCTCAGTGGCTCATGCCTATAATACCAGCACTTTGGGAGGCCAAGGTGGGTGGATCACTTGAGGCCAGGAGTTTGAGAACAGCCTGGCCAACATGGCAAAACCCCATCTCTACTAAAAATACAAAAAATTAGCTGGACGTGGTGGCACGTGCCTGTAATCACAGCTACTTGGGAGGCTGAGGCAGGAGAATCGCTTGAGCCTGGGAGACGGAGGTTGCAGTGAGCCGAGATCATACCACTGCACTCCAGCGTGCTGGATTTAGGACAGGAAAAAAAACCGAGGAGAGAAGTACCCAAGGAAGGTCTGTAGCATGGGACGTAATCAGTGAGAAGCCCAGCTGTCAGTGGGTCAGCAAGCACATTCTTAGCGATGCCGACTCCCAACTGAGGCACATGAAGGCATCACCAGGCGGAGGAAAGGAGATGTATGGTCCCTGCCTAGGACCTTGATATGGGGATTTGACAAGAAGGGGCTCTCTGCCTGATTAAGGGGGCCGTGGAAGAATCGAGACATTTTCCAAATAACATCTCCCACCTGTAAGTGAGCCAGAGCAGCCAATCTGACTTCTGGAGAACCCCACCCCGCAGTGTGTGGTTTCATTCACATCCCACACTTCTCTGCCAGCTCCCCCCACACCCTCCAGGTAACTAACCCCACTGTCCCCATCCTCCACCACCCTCCCAGCGACAGTGTGTGGAATACGCCCTCAAGGCCCGGCCCCTGCGGAGGTATATCCCCAAGAACCAGCACCAGTACAAAGTGTGGTACGTGGTCAACTCCACCTACTTCGAGTACCTGATGTTCGTCCTCATCCTGCTCAACACCATCTGCCTGGCCATGCAGGTCAGTCCAAGGGGGAGCACAGCCACGGTGCTGCAGGAGGGAGGCATGCCATGGGGATGGAAAGCGTAACGGAGCGGCAGGCAGCTCAGTGCATCGCCTTCCTGGCCGCCAAGGGAGGCAGCTGGAGAAAGACGAATATTCCCTGTCAAGGATGTGCTCCTCTCTGGGCCTTAGGGAAGAATCCATGGCACCCTGGGTTGATCAATGGAGAGAGGGGAGGAGATGGAGAAGGGAGGGAGTGAGCTGGACGCATTCGTTGTTGCCGGGAAGGCGTGGCGTGTGGAGGTGGGTTCTGCGTCCACCCGTCTTCAGGGGCAGAGCTTGTTCCCAAGCTCTTTTGAGTGCCGAAAGTCTCCATAAAGTCATCACAACCAACTGGGGAAATGAACACAGATGTGTTCAGAGATGGTAGAGCAGGGAAGAGCTTGGAGTTCTCCTGAGTCCTCCTGACTGCCCACGGAGAGGTGGGTGGCCCTCTGGAGTTGGGTTTGAGGAAAGTCTTGCTGAGACAAGGGCCTCTGAGAAGGGTGGGCAAAAGGTGGGGAGGAGGAGAGACCTCCCTGCCCCGTGTTCACAGCTCCTCCCCTCTCCTGATGCAGCACTACGGCCAGAGCTGCCTGTTCAAAATCGCCATGAACATCCTCAACATGCTCTTCACTGGCCTCTTCACCGTGGAGATGATCCTGAAGCTCATTGCCTTCAAACCCAAGGTAGGCCTCTGAGAAAGACCTTTGATTCACAGGCGTCGGGGTGGACAGGACGGGGAGGTGGGGTGCAGGTATTGAAGGCAGAATCAGGGGAAGAGAGAAAAAGGCATCGGTGAAAGACCATCGCTGCTCCAATGATCAGAGCTCCAACTCCTCCACCTGCCCAGAGCTGAACCAGGCCAACTCCAGGAAACCCTCTCAGTTCTCGGTGTTGACCCTGGCTGGGATGCACAAGCTGCAGATTCCTCGCTGAGCTGAACCTCTGAGCCTCTCCTGGGAGAGGCAGGTGATGGTCTTTCTCCTATGTCCCATCCTCTAGTACATAACCTGTTATTAGAAGAAACTATGCCCATAGACTGGCAGACCAAACCTCTCCGGGCCCAGCCCCCCAGATCCACTCAGGCCTCTGTTCCACCCTCCTCCCATTTCATCAGCCACACAGACCAACCTCGTATAAAACATTCAGCCAGGGCTGGATTGGCTCAGGGCTCAGGGCTACAGCCTATGGGCACTCCTGTTCCCTGCCTCAGAGCTATGGCATTGCTGCTTACACGCTCTGGGGCAGGAAGAACAATTACCTGCAAATTTCTCTGCTTTATTCCTCTTTTGTAAGGGCAAGATTAGGCCTGCTCTGCTGAATGAGGCAGGGTCAGAATTCCTGTCCTTTGGATCATCTGTGCCCTTCCTAGCCAGTCACCCCCGCTGTCCTCAGTGGTGGAGGAGCAGATACTGCTGTGAGCCACACCTTCCACCCTGGGCCTCTGTAGATGGATCAGAATCACCGGCATCCACTGGCCGGGATTCACCACCAGGACAGCTGCTTCTGAGAGAGGCTATAAGAGCAACTGAGCAGCCCCCAGGCCACCGTAACACCTTTTGGAGAAGGATGAGAAGGAACGAGTTCTAGGAGCATCATGCGGTTGCAGACTTGAGACAACCTCTCCAGCTTTACTGAGCCTTCTCCTCCCTGCTTTAGTAGTTTTCCCAGATGCAACACAGATCAACAGGAGGCCAAGAGCTGTATTTTCTATTTTCATTCAAGTTTTCACTGGTCTGAAGATTAACTGGGGGTGGGGGAAGGTCCGGCTTGGCCTTCGAATCCATGTTCGTTGAGGAGATATCCATAGCCTTCTTTGCATGAATACTCACACTTTTGATTCCGTATCATGTGCTACACATATATCATCGCATGTCATCCTCAAAACGTCCCTATAAAGTGGGTATTAGCATCCCTCTGTAGAGGGGGGGAAGTGAGGCTCAAACAATGAAGTGCCCAGTATTAATTGCTCCACTACTAAGAACTGGCAGAACGGAGACTGGAATCTGGCACCTCTGACTTCACTGTATTTTCCACCACACTGAGGTTAACTAGCATTTTCCCAAGTCAAGTGCCGTGCGGGTATTTTTCAGGAAGAAGGAAACAAGCTTGGAAGGACTTAAAAGGCAAGACAGTATTCTTACAATGCAGGTACTTCTCTCGCTCAAAGAGTGCCTGGGGATCCCAGCTGATTTTCATAGAGTAAGGCTCCTAAAGGACATCCTTTGGTGATAGAACGGTGGTTTCCTGCCTCCACCAGAGAAGCAAGTACACTCTTTTTCACCTTCCTGTACAAGTCCCATTTAGGAGGACAGATCTTGTCCTGACCTAGAGAGGACCCCTGGGTTGCCCTGACACCTTCCTTAGGGCACACGGTGTCTCTGGCCATGCATGGCCCTGTTCCAAGCCCTGCAGCCCAGGAGCTCTGACAGTTCACCACCCACAGCAGCATGACCAGCTGAGGCTAGGAGTGCAGTCACTGCCGAGCCGAGCCTCAGTCTCGGGTGACATCCTCTCAGTGGGAAAACTGGCGTCGTTTTCATCCAGTGTCATGAGACATATGGTTTAAATATTTCAAAGCCTTGAGTCATTCCACAATTGACTCAGATGTGTTTCTGACGATGTCTGAGGCAGTCTGGAGAGCCTGCAGTGGACTTTCTGAATCATGCCTCCTGAGCACGGGAGACATACGGACAACCTTCCCTGGGAAGTGCCTGAAATTGACACCTGCGGGAGCTTCGGTCTAAAAGGCACTCCACCTAAATCCTGCAAATCAAGGAACAAGCCAGTTTCCTAGGAATTAACCATTGCGGGTGGTCTAAACCATAAAGTGCCTCCTAATTTCCTCTGTCCCTGGTTTTCTATTGTGAGAAGATGGGGCAAGATGACAGAGACTTTTACCCAAGAAGAAGGAGAGCCATCCTGGGGCCATTTGCATTTCACACTCCTATGGTGTAAAGAGAAAGGAAAATGGATCTTTCCCTGTGAATTTCCCTACAAGGGCTCTGGCAAGAGGGGGATAAACGTGTCCACCCAGTTGGGAGCATCGTGGAGCACAGCTGGGTCCCTGGATTCTTTCTGAGCTATGTTCTTCATTCACAAATAGACTCCAGGAAAAGCAGCTCCAAAATTTAACCAAACTGGAAAAACCTGAAGCTCTGGAAGAAATATTCAGCTGGATCTGGCCCAAGAACCAGTGGCTTCTAACCATGACCTGAATCCATGACAACTTTCATTTCCCACCATTAACTAGGACTCCGTGCTGCACTTTTTATTTCACCGGCGTGCTGTTTGTGCATGACCCAGATGAGCATCAGCATTTGCTGTGAAAGGACGGCTAAGAACCAAGGATGTCAAAGACAGTCTGAAGTTGTCACTGCTTATGTTTCGTCTCTGCAACTGGCTGGTTGGTTGTTGCATCAGCCAGTCAACTTATATTCTTGCTTCATTCTTTCATTGTTTTCATGGTCATGGATGTTCCCAATTTCTTCATTTCTGTGTGTTCTCCTCACCACTCCATAGAAAATAAATTTACTCAAGTAAGTCCCTGCCTAAAATCTAACCATCCCACTCCTTAAATTCATACTCTGTTCACACATTAAAAAAAAAAATCACACAAAGAAACTAGGGATCAACATAAACCAGTTTAGATTGAGTCGGTCCCCCACAAAGCCTCAGGAACCTGCGGGGATGGTTTGAAGAGAGTGAGGTGGATCATGGCAGCATTGATTTGAACAGTGAACAGTGATCCAGAAGGACCTCCTTCCACAGAAGGGAGAGGCCACGACCTGGAGATAACCGGATGTCCCCTGCGCCCCACACGATGGTGCAGGACCAGGTTGGGCAGCATGAAAAGTGCTGCCTGGAATATTCTGAAGGTAATTAAATAACTGGATTGTTCTATCATGAACTGATGCTTGTCAGCAAAGACAGGAAAATAAATTTTAAAGATACTGTTATAGATTTGAACTGAAAAATATGCAATGTCTAGGGAAAAAGTCTAATAGAAATGGCTAAGATCTCTACAGAGAAAATGATAAAATTGAAAGGAATTCAAGAAAAGCTGATAACTGAAGACATCTGCCACGTTCCTGAATTGGAAAGCTCAATATTATTAAGGTATCATTTCTCCTCAAACTGATCCATAGGCTCAATACCATTCCAGTTAAAACTCCCAGTTGCACTTTGCTGGAGGTGAGAATGGCAGAAGAGGGAGCCGCACCGCAAATCCTTTATGGCCAACAGGATGAGGCTGGGTGGTCCTGAGGCTTCAGCCCCTTTGGGCAGCTCCGACGTCACCAAGGAGGCAATGCACAGGAGCCTGGCGCGGGAAGCAGTGTCTGTCTCAGCTACTCCACTGTCAGCTGCTGTTAGTGGGAGTGATGATGTCACTTAGTTGCCTGAGGTTTGCTGTCGAGGATGTCTCAGCAAGGGCACTGGGGGAGGAGGAGCTGCAGGAGGCAGTGAGTGAGAGGCTGGGCTCCAAGCCTCTCCTCCTCAGTGGAACATGGTGTGCCCAGGAAGCCAGGGGTTCACCCCGTGGAAGGCTCCTAACTCGTCCCCTCCCCACAAGCTCCCACCTGGACCATGGAGGGGTGAAGCAGCTGAGACTCGCCTCTGCCCCTCAGCTGGAGCCAGCCCACACAGGGAGCAGCCAGTACTCACCTCCCTGAGAGGAGGATGCTGGAGAGGCCTTGACCCTGGCAGCTCTCTGGAATCAAAGTCTCAATCTCCCTTTTCGGTTTTCTCCCATCCTGAGAATGGTCCAGAGGGGAGAGTGGACCCAGAGTGAAGGCACTCGTTGGCCCTTCTGATGCCCTGCTTTCTTTTTATTTATTTATTTATTTATTATTATTATACTTTAAGTTCTAGGGTACATGTACATAACGTGCAGGTTTGTTACATATGTATATTTGTGCCATGTTGCTGTGCTGCACCCATCAACTCGTCAGCACCCATCAACTCGTCATTTACATCAGGTATAACTCCCAGTGAAATCCCTCCCCGCTCCCCCCTCCCCATGATAGGCCCCAGTGTGTGATGTTCCCCTTCCCGAGTCCAAGTGATCCCATTGTTCAGTTCCCACCTATGAGTGAGAACATGCGGTGTTTGGTTTTCTGTTCTTGCAATAGTTTTCTGAGAATGATGGTTTCCAGCTGCATCCATGTCCCCACAAAGGACACAAACTCATCCTTTTTTATGGCTGCATAGTATTCCATGGTGTATATGTGCCACATTTTCTTAATCCAGTCTGTCACTGATGGATATTTGGGTTGATTCCAAGTCTTTGCTATTGTGAATAGTGCCGCGATGAACATACGTGTGCATGTGTCTTTATAGCAGCATGATTTATAATCCTTTGGGTATATACCCAGTAATGGGATGGCTGGGTCAGATGGTACTTCTAGTTCTAGGTCTTTGAGGAATCGCCATACTGTTTTCCATAATGGTTGAACTAGTTTACAGTCCCACCAACAGTGTAAAAGTGTTCCTATTTCTCCACATCCTCTCCAGCACCTGTTGTTTCCTGACTTTTTAATGATTGCCATTCTAACTGGTGTGAGATGGTATCTCATTGTGGTTTTGATTTGCATTTCTCTGATGGCCAGTGATGACGAGCATTTTTTCATGTGTCTGTTGGCTGTATGCATGTCTTCTTTGGAGAAATGTCTGTTCATATCCTTCG